TTCACTACTCAAAAGGAAATGATATGTATTAGAAAGTCAATATACAACTTTAGTTCCAACATAATTTTATTTTTCGTGACTGTCTTTCTTATACATTTTTGGATAAATACTCATAATTTGCCAAATTCTGTTAATCTTGTGTTATTTGGCTATCTTCAGGCATTTATAACTTGGTCAACTGTTTAGAATTAGCCATAATATTGTAAGTCCACACATGGAGCTGTGAAATTGTTGCATTTAGTAAACATTGACATACTTTTTGAAATGGCTCCGTTTGTGAACTAGATTTAGTGGATATTGGCATTAAATTCAAATAAATCTTTACTATAATTTCGCACGTACAAACAAATCACTCACGCAATATTAATAGACATACGTTCTTCCAAAATAGAGAGATGTCTATGATATATATTTCAAGATCTCATTTAAATGTAAAGTTTAATTCTCAACGATGATGAGATTTTTAAGCATAGATTTAGTGGAGCAGGATTTGCTTACCCTTTCGGAGTACATGCGATCACCCCCAGTTTTTGGTTGGGTTCGTGTTGATCAGTCTTGAGTTTTTTATAAGGTCGTTGTGTGGACTTGTTTGTCTTTTCGGCGTATTTCGTTTTTTTTGCGAAGGCGTTGTCAGTTTCTCTTCGACTTATGAGTTTTGAATGTCTTCTTGGTCGTATTTTCCGCCTCATATATAGTTATAAATGAATTTTTTCATCAACATAATTGATTAAAGTAGACAAATAGACTGAACATTTAAATCTTAAGCGGAATTTTGGCGCAGTTCAGTGGATTTATTAATGATGCAGATAACAAAATTATATGTTATAAAAGAGATGCGAAAGATACCAAAGGGACATTCAAAAACATAAATCGAAAAATAAACTGACAACGCCATGGCAAAAAGAGAAAAAAGATCAGAAGACAAGCAACAGTATACAAAACACAACATAGAAAACTAAAGACTGAGCAACACGTACCCCACCAAAAAATCGGGGGTGATCTCAGTTGCTCCGGAAGAATAAGCAGATCCAGCTCCACATTTGGCATCCATCGTGTTGCTCATTTAAGTAGAAACCCGATGATAAGTCTAATTCGGTAGGTCACATTCATGGAAAAGGAGAGCGGGATTTTGGTTACGACGATTTCAACATATCCGTCGTCATCTATGAAATACATATTCCATAACGGTCAACCAACTCGTGATGGCGTCCGTAAAATTTTCGAAGGGATGATTTCAAATTCACCACTTGGAACTCTTGGTATAATACCTTGTAAGCAGCCATCCTCTATCGAGGAAATCGTGATAGGAAACGCAAGCCCTGGAATATCGTATCAACTGGGAGATATATATATACTCCATATGCAGGAGCTGTACGTAAATTAATAAAAACAAGAATGTTTCCATAGTACACGGATGCCCCACTCGCACTATCATTTTCTATATTCAGTGTACTAAGTTTCAAGTTGATTGGACTGCAACTTCAGCAAAAACTACCTTGACCAAAAACTTTAACCCGAAGCGGGACAGACGGACGGACTGACTGAAGGACGAACGGACGAACGGACGAACGGACGCACAGACCGAAAAACATAATGCCCCTCTACTATCGTAGGTGGGGCATAAAAAGTGTCAGTCATATATATTTTCCTGCAGTCGAGTGTTTGTAATTAGTTTCAACGGCGTGGTATAAGACTGAAAAGTGGGGGAGGGGGTGGGGCGGCAAACTTCTGAGAATGAAGACAAGATAAAATTGAAAGAAAAGGTATCTTTTCTTTATTATAATGGTCTAGAAGTTTTCATTTTTTACAATCAATAATTTGTTCTTGCCAAAAAATGGGATCCCAAAATGGGATCCCTTGTTACCCTTCCAGCTACTACGCTACTACTTTAAGCAGGCACTTTATTCTACTTTCTGAAGTCAAGTAAATCAAACAGTGTTTCCGATAGAATTTTCAATATCGCAAATGTCAATAAATGTATATGCGTGATAATCTTTTGTATTGTGTTGCTCACCCGCAGAATTTTACTTCATATCTCCTTACTTATGTCTTTCAAATTATGTTATTCCATATCAACCCATTAAGAAAAAAGAAAAATGTTCAAAACTTCGGGTATATTAAAACAAATCAATGCTCATTTATACTGGCAATATAAACGAAAAATCAAATAAGTGTTAAAACATGATTTTTAAGTTGTAAGGAAAATGAACCCGTAAAAAGGTTTGTGGTTCACAAGTCCCAATATGTTTAAATTGTTGTGAAATCAAGTTAAAATTAGCATAATATAAGGTTTGGCTCCTTCCTGCTCCCCTTAGTCACATGTTACCACTCTCCCTTTTTAAAGTTCCTGGATCCACTACTGATTAAGCATAGCAAACCAAAATAGGCTTCTGTGAATAACCTCTTCCAGAAGAACGATTCATCAAGTCAACTAAAACAATTGCTATTATAATCATTGTATAAATACATGAATTTAATATGTTATGCATTGGTTAGATCATGGCTTGATGATGGATGAGGTCTTGCTTTTGAAATTTGATCTATTAAACTAATCAAAGTAAGAAAGGTTTACGCTATGAATTTTTAAGGGAAAGAAACAACCACCGCATACTGTTTACACAAAAAAGTATAACAAAAATACTGAACTCCAAGGCAAATTCAAAAAGGGGAAGTTCATAAAAACTGACAAAATCAAACGCTATTAAACAACGGAACAAGTGAAAAACAACTGCCATATTCCTAACTTGGTACAGGCATTTTCCGAAGAAAAAGGTGGGTTAAACCTGGTTGTATAGCTAGCTTAACATCACACAAGCAAGGGTCACATGATAATATAATTATATTCTCCTAAACTTCCTCAATATCGTATTGGGGAGAGTGTCTGTTTGATTGTTTAATACACAATAACGTCTGATCGGAATACAAAAATTCATAGAATGCATTATCCAGCCTTGAGGCAATGCAAAACACATTTAACTGTTTTCAGTTGTCCCTATTGACCCTCTGTGCCTACATGACCTACACAATTGATTAACTGTTAAGTATGTTATCGCCTTAAATGTGGCAAAAATATTTGACACTCGATGTAAGAAAGCAACTGCAAGTCACTTCTACATGAAGCTGTCGACAGGGAGATTGGATTCTGTATGATATATTCGCCAGCCATCATCCGAGTTGACAGTATGTCAGTATCTCGATTTGGAATTAATATTGATTCACTCATAGGGTCTTTGCATCGGAAATAAACACATTTATTCTAAAACCAGTTGTTGGCATGATACGGGTCATATTCTTCTAGTATAATTTATGATGGCATGATACTAAACCTCTAACGGGAGGGATTGTGATTGATTTTCATATGATGAAGACATAACCTTTCAATCAGTTTAGTTGAAGTCCGGAGCAGTAACTGCTAGTAGTCCTTTGTTAATTTATGTTTATCAATGTGATTTTGGTTATAGTTTCTTCTCTTACCTATTCTAACATCGGACTCGGACTTCTTTTAAACTGAGTTTTATTGTGCGTTTTGATGTGTGTTTGTTTATTCCATATTGGGTAATAGTATAAGGAGATGGTTCAGATCTCACAAAACATGTTTATCCCCGCCGCATTTTGCGCCTGTCCCAATTCAGGAACCTCTAGCCTTTGTTAGTCTTGTGTGTTTTTGAATTTTATTTTTTCATTTGTATGTTTTGGAGTTTAGTTTGTCTTCTATTTCGCTGAACTAGTATACATTATTGTATATGGGCCAGCTGAAGCCCGCCTTCGGGTGTGGCATGTTCTCGCTCCATCGAAGACCTATTGGTGGCTTGGGCTGTTTGCTCTTTGTTCGGGTTATTGTCTTTTTGACACATTCCCCGTGTCCATTCTCTATTCTATTTCTGTTTAATTAATAGTAGAATTGTTCAAAAACTGATCTTAAATAAGACTAATATGAACAGCAATAATTGGCCTTTATTTAATTTTGATATCTTTCTTACAGTTCTTACATATCTTTTTAAAGTATTGTTTCTTTTGCCTCTATATTTTTATTTATGCGTGTATTTTTTCCAGCTCCTTTGCAATGCCCGTGTCGTATGAGATTTAAAAGCAATATTACAGTTGATTGTATGTTGTACTGTTACACACTATCCCATGTTAGGGGATGATTCGGCTCTCACAAACATGTTTTAACTGCCACATTCTTTGTATGCATGTCGTAAGTAAGAAGCATTTTGCTCATTGTTTAAAACTTGACAGAATTCCAACTTTCTTGCACATATACTTCTACATGACATGACCTTGTGCATCTACTATTTTGATTTTGTGACAAGAGAGTAACTCATGAGTAAACTGGATAACGGTGCCAGTGGTAATTTTAATATATACCGAGATAAACAGCAAATGCTTTATCTTCTTCAACAGTAGCAGTAGTAACAAGAAAAACTATTTATATGTAGCAATAAAAGTATTGTCAGTAAAAAGGTAGTGCATTTAAGAAAACAAATGCATAAATCGTTTGAATTAAAATCGAGTTATCATTCTGGGATTGTCGATTATTACATACTTCTGGTTATTACCGTTCATTCCTCTTTGGTCGTTCGATCACCTCCTATTTATTATAGTCGAGTGGATATGATTTAAAAATTCTATTTTGTTTATCCCGTCATGCTCTGACATGTTACAGTCGATACTTGAAGGTGGTCAAACAACTATGTTATGTCATCTAACAATGACACAGAAATATCTTTATTTTAAGAAGATGTTATATGATTGTCAATGAGACAACTCTCCACCAGAGACGTGACATAGAAGTTAACAACTAAAGGTCACCGTTCGGCCTTCAACAATGAGCAAACCCATACATACCGCATAGTCAGCTATGAAAGGCCCCGAAATGACAAATGTAAAATTCATATTCTTTTAAAAATAACCATATTTATTACAATAATGGTATAATAAATTTCAAAAGTGAGAGGTAAAATCGTGTTACTAATTTGACTTATTATTGATCATTTTAGATGTTAATGAATGCAGCTATAACCCACCATGCAACCAGGGCTGCAAAAATAGCATTGGTTCATACATATGTGTCTGCAATGATGGATATGCCTTTACAAATGAAAGTTTGACTTACTGTGAAGGTAGGTTGGAAAACGATGTGTCACATTTTATCGTCATGCTACCATGAACCTCTATGTTTTCCAAGGATCCTTAGATAATTTAGGTAGCAAGTTTTTGACGAGTGTTTAAACGCCTTTCTAACAAAGGTTTGAAGCTTTTTTATTTTTTATTTTTTCATCTTTTCTTAAATGTTTAATCTATTTTAGTTGCCGATACAACGGTTGGGTTCAAAGAAATAAACATTTGCACTTTTATATGGTACACAGAACTTATAGTTTTAGCAAGTTTTGATTAAATTCTCTTTATTGCATTCTTAAAAAAAAAGGTTTCATAGTATTCTAACTTACATCCACTTCATTTGAACTTTGGTTGATAGTTGTCTCATTGGGAATCATACCACATATCCTTATTTTTATATTAACTGAATACGGAATACGCATAGGTCTTACATATAGCTTTATGATAATGAATTATTCTCAACATTAAAAATGGAACTTTATTTAAGATCATTTGATATTTGTATAAAACACATGTATTGGCTAGTGTATAGTTTGCTTGTGTTGTATCACGCAGACATTTAAACTTTTATACTACTTAGTAATTTCTTCGTTGGAGTAAATTTAAGTTGTGGAATAAATTGTGATCCATTATACTGAAATCTTATGTTTGTATAAATATGGTTGAAAACTTTTATCACAAAAAACACAGTCGATTTTGAGTATTTATTCTTTCAATGCGATCATTTCTGATATACTGGACATAACATTATTATTGTTACCATGTAACCTTAATTTTGCCCCTAACCTGAATATCAATGAAATATTTTCCACGGGAAGTTAAGCAAACAACAATCAATAAATCAATCCGTTGTGTTGCTTTGCTTACTAAATAATATTTAGTTTATCAATTATATATGTTATTAGTCCTAAAAGTTGACCTGTGAAATCATTAACGGAGTCATAAATAAGAATAGGATTCTATACCTTTGAAAACTAAAATATGGTCTGCACTTTTGTGACCGAACATAACAATTATGAAGGTGATATTGGAGTCTATGATCAAATTTGATTCGCATGTACATAAACTTTATCTTAACGACTGCCGTACTTAATTAGAATGTATCATCGGAATAAACTCCCAATTTGACATCTGTGAACGCAGACATGGTTAAAAGGATGCCCATTATTATTATACTGTGCAGAATGAACATCCTCTTTACATTATAAAAAATCTAACTCTCTTGTTTCTACGTTGCTCTGGTATGGTGCAGATTATACTTCAAACACTACATATAAACTTAGGATTGAGCAATATAAACCCAACTAAAAACCGGGTCGATTCAGGTGTTCCGGAAGGATAAGCATATCCTTATATGCTCATGATACGTACATATCCGGTGTTAGGTCTCACCCAACGATGTCACAGTTAAGCCAAAGAGGACGAGAGAATAGCTTTGACAATTGGATCTTATCCGTGGTCATCTGCGACACACATATTCAATAACGATCTATCAACTCATGACAGCGCCCGTAAAACTTCCGAAGAGATTACTTCAACTTTTCTACAATAGGAATCCTCTGTCAAGGAATCAAGATAGAAAACGCAAGGTCTGGAATATCGTATCAACTGGGAGAAATATAATCTTTCTGCAGGCACTACTTGAATATTGGTACATAGAAATAGAAAGTTCTTACTGGAAAGCGGAATTCATCTCTTTTGTCGTTAAGTGTAGTTTCCAACAGACAGTAATTGTCAATTTCTAGATGTAAGTCAAAATATGGGGCAGATTAAACTTTATCTGTGGTATTCTTTATTTCAAGTTCGATGGGATATATCAGATAAACAAGACACTAAACCAAATTTTGAATTATTTAGTGAGAGGACATTATTTATATCACGGAATGTGAAGTTAAAGTATAATGCTAGCTTCTTTATTTTTCCTAGAAGCTCCTGTATTAAATCTGCCTCATATGTAAAAAAGAACAAGACGGCAGGAAGAGGAGCATATTTGGTTCCAATGTCGATTGTCTATTGCTAAATACGTCCTCCAAACGTAAAAGATATGTTGTCAATACGTTAATAAAGCTTCGATCTTGAGGATGTCAGTTTTAGAGAATTATTTTTTTTAAACAGAGTTGTTATTTTTCTTCAAAGGATAATTGTTTATCCGTTCCTAAAGCAAGATATTTGTATCAACGTTGTCCTTTTTATGAATCAGAGTTACAATAAATCTTTCAACCTGTTGTACAGTTTAGAATGAGGAGTACTAGTGTAAAGGTTAAATTAGTCAAATGTTTATACTAATGCAAGAAGAATGAGACTTAGATTGTATGTATTCTGCTAGACGTTTGTAATATTTTAGTATCCACATCTCATTCACATCGTCCCAAAGTTATGTTGTTTCACAGCAGCTCTGAAGCCCGGCTATGATTGCTGATAAAATAGATGTTAATAATTTGGAAAGAAGATTCGTGGAGCATTCGGCTTACCCAGCAATATTAAGTTGTTTTCAAAGACACTTATGTATTTTTGGTATCCAGTACAGTGGAGGAAGGCTAGTTTTTCATCTTTGGTTTAAATTCCAAAGGAATATAGAACAGACCTATTATTGTTCCTCCTTGGTTAAAAGTCATCAAAAATATCAGGCTTATAATTTGGTACACAAGACGCGCTTTTCGTGTACATAAGATTATTATTGACACTCCAATAAAAAACAGTTGGCAGTCCAAATCAAATACAAAGTAAAAGCACCTAAACACGGGAAATTCCGAATGGATGTGCCAAATATGGCTAAGGCAATCTATACCCAAGGGTAGAAAAACCTTAGTAAGTGTAGTGGTGGTATCTGTTAAATTTCCAAGTAATTATTAGGTCTTTCCACTTTTCTGTGGAAAGACCTATTGTATTTGTTCTGATTATTATTATTTTTTTCTTCCGCCAAATTTTGTTCTCGCGTAAAATTTTTGTTTCGCAATATGTCACTAAAATATTTCTTATATAGTATCATACAGTTTTTATATTTGCGCTTTTTATTTTCACCCATTCTAAGCCGAACAATTTTCTTTGTAAGAGCTATCTCCCTATTCACTGTTTATCAAGTGTGTGCATCTCCTTCGTAACAAAAAAAGATATTGACAAAATTCTTTTTCTAAACTGTTCGTTACATCCTCAGAAATTTTTAGCTAATTTGGATCGAAGCGATTCGATGAAATTTTATAGGAGTTATCTAACTTTACCAAATAAATTTGTTGGTATGTTTTTTTAACTCATAAACCATTAACCGTATAACCCTGGAATGTTTTTATTTGAGGCCCCTAGGTGCTAACTTCGAAAATGAGGTCAAGGTCAAAAGTCAAGGTCAAGTTCTTAATTTTGACTTTTCTTTGTTTTTGCATTTTCTCCAACACTTTTAAAGATATATATAAAAGAACAGTTGCAAAATGTTTGCTTAATTGTTATGAAGGTATGTTACATTTGGTCTGAAACAATCTAATGGCATTTTATAGGCGTTAGTGCCGCTGAAATGTCTAATTATAAGGTTAATTGATTATTACTTCAACTTGGTTCATTATAAAGCCATATGACCTTTAACAAAAGGTTGGGTGACATATGACCTTGAAAAATGACAACCGGAAGTGACCTTGAGAAAACCGGAAGTAGCCATTTTTGCACTTTTTTCATTAAAAAGTACTCGGAATCCATATATTTTGTAATTTAAATGCATAAACTGATCATTATAAACTAGAAGTGACCTCCAATTAACCGGAAGTGGCCAATTATCTCCTTGTTTACAGGCAAAAGTATATAGAAACTATATATCTTTGGAATCAGTGTGAAAGAAGCTATCATATGAGACTGGAAGTGAAATTTACTTCACCGGAAGTAGCAAATTATCTCCCTTATTTCACTCAAAAGGATAAAGAAACCATTTATTTATCGCATCAGTATGAAGGAACTTATAATTGGACGCCATTTTTGTCGAGCCTTCGACTTTTGTCGAAAAAGCGAGACATAGCGATCCTACATTCCGTCGTCGGCGTCGTCGTCGTCGTCGTCGTCGTCGTTGTTGTCCTCGTCGGCGGCGTCCACAAATATTCACTCTGTGGTTAAAGTTTTTGAAATTTTAATTACTTTCTTAAACTATCCTGGATTTCTACAAAACTTGGACAGAAGATTGTTTATGATCATAAGATAGTATCCAGAAGTAAATTTTGTAAAAAAAAAATTCCATTTTTTCCGTATTTTACTTATAAATGGACTTAGTTTTTCTGCCAGTTAACATTACATTCACTCTGTGGTTAAAGTTTTTAAGAATTTAACAACTTTCTTAAACTATCCTGGATTTGTACCAGACTTGGACAGAAGCTTGTTTATGATGAAAAGCTAGTATCTAGAAGGAAATTTTGTAAAAATTTTGTTCCATTTTTTCCGTATTTATCTTGTGCAGAAAAATTGGTACCGTTTATGTAATTTATGTAATTACTTATAAATGGACTTAGTTTTTCTCCCAGTTAACATTACATACAGTCTGCAGTTAAAGTTTTTAAAACATTTACTAGATTCATAAACTATCCTGGATTTTTACCAAACTTGGACAGAAGCTACTTACAATCAAAAAATAGTATAGAGAGGAATATTTTTCTTAATTTTTTACCTCATTTTTGTTGAGCCTGCGATCAACAGCAAAAGAAGGCGAGACACTGGGTTCCGCGGAACCCTTACGAATTTTTAACTTTGAGTAAACCGGAACTAGCTTCTTTTCAATAACTTTGAAAATTGATGTGGAAAGACCTTCAATTGTTCTCTGAACAATGTGTTTTTAATTAATACCTAATTTCTTTATCAAGCAGTTAATGAAATGTCATTTTAAAACAAAAACGATGTTGTTAGGCGCTTTGTTTGCGAAGACAACACCATATGTAATATCAACAATTTATGTCATGGATGGGATAGGAACAGATTGATCTATAAGATTGAGAGGTATTTTGGATTGAACATATTTATGATAAAGGATATTGTCTAAATTGATGGCACCGAATTGCATCCATCGGTAACCTACAGTTCTTCCAGTTGATGGGCTAGGAAATTCGATGTTTTGAACCTTTTGCGAACAACTCTTTAATTGTTTACGATGCAAATGTCTCCATTAATAACATGACCAGCGGGACTATATTTCTATTGGGACGATAATCAACAGCAAGATAACTTGATTTTCAATTCAGATCATAGTTACTCCTGGTGAAGTAAGATGTTTAGTTAAATTACTAGTGAATTGAGTATCTGTTATCGAAATTTCACAGGTTTGTCAGTTTTCGGTTTTACATCTGAAAATAAGAAAAATGTAGTTTAGTCAATATTTCAAACGACAGTGTGCGAAGATTATTGTAATTGGAATTATGATGATTTTTTTTTTATCAAAAATCATTAATTGAAGAAAAACCGATTAGACAATGGCAAAAACGAAAAACAACAAAAAAGCAATACGTTTTTAGCAGGAGTTTTTACACTAAAGTCTATGATGTTTCCCAACATGGCACACGCAAATTAAGAGATAATCATCATTCAAAAACCATTGAGACGAAAAATACACAGGTTAAGGTACAGACTAAAAATTAAACAAAAGTGATGGCGACTATAAAAATATCTTGTATCATAATGTAGTGCGCGGATCTCTATCATTGCCTGGACATAGTTGTGTTCACTTTATTTGACACAAACTCTCAGTAGCGAACTAACTGTTGACGGTTAACACCAACATATATATATCACTCTAAAACATGAAATTCACTATTTGGATACTGATCCAATCTAGTATTTTTTTTCCAAAAAGCATTATTCACAAGAAAACTAATATCTTTTTGTATTGATTTTATTAACATAAAAATCATCACAGATACTACGCTTATAATTTTTTACGCCAGATGCGCGTTTCATCTACAAAACGCTCATAAGTGACGCTCGAAAAAATAGTTTAAAAGGCCGAACAAAATACGAAATTGAAGAGGATTGAGAGCCCAAAATTCCAATAGGTTTTGCTAAATATAGCTAAGGTAATCTTTTCCTGAGATACAAAAAAGTTTGGTTAACAGTTAATTTATAAGTATGACAATACCAATGATAATTCATGTCAACACAGAAGTGCTGACTACTAGGATGGAAATATTTATCACACATATTATCACATATTAGGGGCCTCGGTGGCCGAGTGGTCTAAGTAGTTGAACTACTGTATCACCAACCTGTAAGCACTCAGGTTGTGAGTTCGAATCCCGCACGTGGCATGTGCGCCCGACTTCAATCGTAATTGACTAGGGTTGTCACTGAAGGTCGGATGTTCTCTCCGGGCGGCATCATCCACTTATAAAATCTGACCGCCACGAAATAGCACATTAGTGCTGAAAGTGACGTTTAACACAAAACAATTAAATCATATCAAATATCACATACTATTTAAATAGAAACATATTCCAAAATGCTTGTTCTAGTCATTAAAAAATTGTCTTGTACCATACACTCAATTTAGATTGTAAGTAGAAATAATTTCCTTAGATGATGAAGATCACCCTTTATCAATTTAGTTCTTCCGAAGCACTTTTCTGGATAAATCCTCAACCGGAAAACTCGAACCCAAACATTTGAAAGTCTAGTAAGTTTAAATACCCGAATACGTTAGGAGCTTACTAACTTAGGGACCTAAAGAGAACAGCCGAATTCCTCTAAGATCAACTTTTGCCTGATGGAGTTTGATTTGTGAAAATATATTTATGCTCGAAAAATATTTTTCAAAATGTTTTCTTGACGAAATCGGTTGATTTATCTACCGCTTGAAATTCTTTATATAGGCTTTACATATTTAATGAATTTAACGATTGTTTTTGGCAAAATAAAGATTTTCCATTTTGGTTTTGATTAAAGACATATCTATATATATCAGGACCACAAGCTGCTTAAGATGTCAAAACTATTATAAAAATAAAAAACAATTTATACAATCTATTTCTTCGTGAACTTTAGAAATATTCATTTTATTGTATGTTTGTATTACAGATATAAATGAATGTATCAAACCAGAAACACAGACCTGCGCTCAAATATGTACGAATTTAAATGGGTCATTTTTATGTTCCTGCAAGGATGGATATACAATTGAAAGTAACAATTATGACTGCAAAAGTAAGTAGCTTATTTAGGAATGAAACAGTACCTTACACTATAAGTCATATACTTTTTATACTGCAAATGTTTGTTATTTAGTCAAAATAATGTTTATTATAACATTCTTTTAAAGAATCGTAGGTGGTATGTTGAAAGGAAAATGTCTGTCTCTATCCAAAATACCCCTTTTCCAGTGAAAGTCAGTATTCACCATGGGTCTATCAATTTTGCAGAATCTACCTTTAAATCTTGTATTTTATGTTAAATAAATATATATATATAAAGACATGTAGGTCTTACGTTTTGCTCAACGATACTAACATAAGATTTTAATATATAAAGATGTTATAAAATCGTATTGACAAATATTTCGGCTGAACAAATAGCCTTATTCAGTGTCAATGTCTCTATCAAAACTTTTAATGTAATACAATACTAGTTGTTTATGTTTTAAAATACAGGTAAAGTTTGAACTATTGATTTAATCCGAAATCTTGCACTTCATTAAACAAGAAAAAACTCAATACTACAAGACCTTTTCAACAACTCTCGAAATCGACTCATGACACCTACATTTTACAGGTGAAATAGAGAGGTCGTATCAAAGATCTAAGGTGTAACATGCATTTAACATATACGTACATATTCGATTTGAACATTCATTACAACGAAGTATTGAAATACTATTTCGATTCTAGCAGTGTTTGTTTCAATTTGATCAAATTAAGATTAAAAAACAATCGATAATGCTTGCAAGTCAATAATTCAACCTCATTTGAATCCGTATTCATGTAACCCTAACTTGACCTTAAGCTGAAGATGGGATACGCATTTCCTTAGCGTTTTCAGTTATTGAAGAGAAAAGATTAAAGACTCAATGTTAACATTGAAAAGTGTTAGAAACATTTCCGCACTCTTAACTTAAGTTTGTCTCATTCAAATTTTATGAAACTCATATACAATGCTAAGAACCAAAACTCACAGACAGAGTTCAAATTTGAGCAGTGGGTCATTTACCGTTATAGAGTTATGCCTCTTTTTAACTTGGAAAGCTCAGACACATTCTTCTTTCTAGAGTTATGCCCTTCATAACTGGGAACATTGCATTTTTTTTTCGTTTCCACACTAACTTAAGGTTTATGAAACTCATACACAATGCTAAGAACCACAACACGAAGACAGAGTTCGAATTTTGGCAGTGGGTCATTTACCGTTATAGAGTTATGCCTCTTTTTAACTTGGAAAGCTCAGACACATTCTTCTTTTATTTTAAATATATGACATGAAATCAACAGACCTATAAAAATCGTAATTACACAACTCCACGTGCTTTTCCCGTCTATTTGAATTTATATGTATGTTTATATGATCTGGTCGAATGACTATCGACAGTCTTCGAAGGTACTCTCGATTGTGTAAATAAGATGCCGTCTTGTCTAAAATGCTGATACATTATCACGAGTCCATGCATTGTTAAGTGTTTCTTTTGGACTTTTTGTAATTTGGATTTACGTTTTAGAATGTTTTGAATCAAATATGAGAATTTGAGTCAAATCGGTCATTATTTATTTGACAGGTAATGCCACTTTAAAAATATGTATTAATTTCAAAAATCTGGAAAAAAATACAAATATATTTGGCTTCTTTTTTTCATGTGAACATAAAAAAAATATGCAACACTGTGTGGTTTTGATTTGTTATAAAATTTTATACAATAAGAAAATAGCTGCCGTAGTAAAATTCATATTATCATAAGCACTATCATTATTGTTTCTATGTGTAATCATTATATGTAGCATGCCCTTTAAGGGCTGATGATTGTTTTAATAAAGTATTCATATTCGACATTGTTAAATCGTCGCCTGAAGATTGTCAAAAGGCATTAAAGCGCTAATGAACTTTGATTATTTGATGTGAAATGTAGTCTTTGCGAATTTTAAATGAAATGAATAGAAGTTAAGTCAGGACAATGATAGTATTCAAATAGTTAAAATTTCACCTACATCACATGTTGATAAATGAATATGCATAATCACAATCTAAAATGTATTAAATTCCAACCACTTGAAACCGTTCAGAAACAACCAGGAGAATCACACAAGCAATTTGAAAAATCACGTGAAGTTCGCGAATTGTTTTGGATAAAAAGACTTCAAACAGCTTATCCTCTCCGTCTTAATGACAAAATATTAGGACAGGGGAACATAACTAAACCTTCAATCGATGTCATTAATATTGTCGATAAACGACTTAGAAATAAAAGGTCTCATGGCAAACGCAAAAAACCGTAATCAACGTATTAAACATCGTATAAATTATACACTTGCTGATCTGTTATCTATAATAAAAAATAATGGCAGACATCAAGTATTAAGCAAACTGGGTCAGATACCAATAAGTAAATTATATGCTATTTTTCTGGAGTGTGATACAATTTCTTTTTTTAGCCCAATGTATGAATACACCCGTATTATTACAGCCTTTTGTCATCATAGGCTATTTCCTAGTATCGATAAACCTTAAAATCATAAACGGCATTTTCTTAAATTAAAATATATAAATAGAGGTATTGATTTATTAACTTATCTAGTATATTCAATGACTCTACCATCCAAAGCCAAATACCTCCATATTTTGATAATATAGAACCACCTATTATTTCGTATTCTTATAAAAAACCCAGCAGAAGTTTGATTTTTAATTATACGTCAGTTACATCAGACGTCAATATAGAAAACAATGTTCCTTCCACTTGAGATTGTGAAACATCTAGTTTTAGATATGTTCCCTATGGTCATGTCCTTACAGGAGACCTCAACATCGTCGAAGACCGTGAGGTCATAACTTTTCTTAAGAAAGGACCGAAATATCGTCCTCCATCTAAAATAGATTGGAAACAGTGTCGTCAGATCATTAAAGACGCTCTGTCTGTCTACTGTAAAAATTGGTGTAAACGTGAAAAATCTGATAAAAAATCTCTAGACAGTTATTTGAATAAAATCATGAATACTGTTAATATTCGTATATCTCATTTTGAAAACAATTCTGAAATTAGTAATAGGGTCTATGATATTCCAATTTCCAGAATAAAAAATAAACTCCAAGTACTCGCAAAGCGGTTTGTGTTCTTACCGGCAGACAAAGCAGCAAATAATGTAGTGGTGGTGTGACGCATATACTACACGGAAGTTCTCCAAAACGAAATTACAAATTCATCTACATTCAGGTCCGTACGCTCCACAGAGAGTCAAATTGTAAACAAGCATATCACTGCCACTACCCAGCTTAAGGCCTCTTCCGAACATTTGAAAGTCCCTACTATGTACTGGTTACCTAAATTGCACAAAAAACCATTTAAATTCCGTTTCATCTCCGCTTCTAGTAAGTGTTCTACTACTAATCTATCAGTGCTTCTAACTACCTCCCTTACTACTATCAAAGAACTTGTTATTAACTTTTGTAATAAAGCTTATGAAAATAATGGTATTAATTATTTTTGGAGTGTTAAAAATTCTTTAGAGGTTTTAGATAAAATACATGCTTTTGATGGTCCTTTTGGTTCTGTTGACAGTTATGATTTTTCTACTCTCTATACTACACTTCCACACAATCTTATCAAGAAAAAGTTTTCATATTTAATTAAATGGTCTTTTGAAAAATCTCATTACAAATTTATTTGCTGTAACTCGTTTAAAGCCTTTTTCTGTAACGAAAAAGGAAAGTATGCTAGATACACTTACTGGAAATGTGAAGATATGATTGAAGCTTTAAATTTTCTCCTGGACAACATATATGTACGTTTCGGCGATAGAATGTATCGACAAGTAGTAGGTATTCCTATGGGCACTAACTGCGCCCCTTTAATAGCAGATTTATTCCTGTATTGCTATGAATCTCAGTTTATGACCAAACTCAGTAAAGACACGTCATTGTTACATTTGGTTGATACATTCAACAATACCTTCCGTTATCTAGATGATATTTTTTCGTTAAATAATCCAGAGTTCTCTAAATATACTATCGAAATTTACCCAATAGAACTTACTTTAACTAAATCTAACATAAACAGCAGTAGTTGTCCTTTTCTGGATTTGGACATTTCAATCTCTAAAGGAAAACTCCATACGAAAATTCAGGACAAAAGAGACGATTTTTCATTCCCTATTGTTAATTTTCCTTTTTTAGACGGCGATGTTCCTTTGGCTCCATCATACGGTGTATATATATCCCAACTCGTTCGTTATGCCCGTGTGTGTAGTGATGTCATAGATTTTAACGAACGTAATCAATGCATCACTGGTAAATTATTAAATCAAGGATTTCGTTACCATAAATTACGTAAAACTTTTGCTAAGTTCTTTCATAGATACAAAGATTTGATTAGTAAATTTGGCTGTACTTGTAGAAAACTGATTAAAAACGGTATTTCACATCCTAAATTTTACGGTTATATTGTACTTAAAGCGCGGAAATCACTATGTGATCCGTGTAAACTCATCGAACCTTTAAACAGGCTTATTAGTAAAGGTTATCTTACCAATGTTGTAATTAGATCTTTGAATATAGTTTACATTGGCACTAATATCGATTTTGTCATCAGCAAATTAAAACATAACTAAATTTGTATTTTTTTCAAGTGGGATGTATAAAGACACACCCACGTTCGTTTAGATCTATAAAGAGGTTAAACTCCTAACTATCCTACTGTCTGTCGATACATTTATTTTTGGCATTGCACTAGTCATGTCTTCTTTGACTGTCCATGACGTTAAAATACTAAATCCCTGGGATGTGTTTTAGTTGATTTTAGTCTCTGATGCATGATTTTTTATTATTAATTGTTTTGGCTTTTAACTAGCTGTCAGTAACTGCGAGTACTCTCAAATCGTACTTTCTTGTATATTTGACCTGTTGATACTAATTGTATTGCTTTTTTGTTATTTAATGTTATTCAGGGTTATATCTGGTCTATCTACCAGCTTTGATAAGTGTTTGGTATAACTATAAATTTTCACTTC